CATCAATGGAATGTCTACAGGCTCCCCCGTGCACTCCCTCGTCACCAGACCACTCTCGGCTCGTCCCGCTCGCCCTGTTCTACACTCGGCTAGCTCGCTCTGAAACCAACCGGGAGCCTGTTCGCAGGCTAAAAGTGATGTCGCCATGAACTGCTCATTCAGAACGTACGTCACGCTCCATTAACTATATCTTACTGGCGTGACAGTAAAATCTCATTTAAAATTGTATTTTAAGAGGACCCATGTTGTCTTACCTTTCTCTTTGCAGACAGTCTGGCTTATTGTATCCACCAGATCAACAAGTTTGTCGTAATCATGAATATGAAAAACGTTTTCCTTCTTAGGACCTGTGGCCATAAAATTCAACTCTTCGTTATTAATCAAATCCCCGACTCCAACAGCTATAACATACACTCCTTCCGCCCTCAGGTTCTCCATGGGTTCTTGTAGCAACTCTACTCCTTGCTTATTGTTCAACGGTGTTGTGCGACCATCAGTCACTATTACAAGTAGTTTCTTGGCCCCAACTCGGTTGATTCGGAGAAATATTTCCCAAGCTTTTTGCAGTGCAAGCTCTGTTCTTGTGACTCCGTTCTGATACCGATTTTTGAGGTTTTCTAGTTCCTCCTCAAGAAACTTTTGATCATTTGATGGTTGAATAGCCTCGTTGGACACAGCACTGAAGTCAATGACTCCCATACGACTTTCTACGTTTAAGGCAAGTAATTTTCCAGCCAATTTTGCAGCAAAATCCACGCTTTTCACCCAGTTTTCTTTAAGTACACTGCCGGATGCATCCAACGCCGTGATGACATCAAGTGGAGTGAAGCATCCTGGAAACCAACAAAGACGAGAAATCATAAGGTCTGTCTTCAACAGGCGTCAATATGGTTTAGTGGTATCGGTTTTTATTTTGTTCATATCACAAATGTGTATAGGAAATAGTTAGACCTTAAATATAATTCGTGACTGATCTGATCGACTTCGAAATACTTGTACCCTCATATACCTTGGGTTGATATCCAAGATCTCTGAACTTCTTTAGAACAGATGAAAAACTCCGCAATACTTCATTTCTACTTCCGATATGTTTTTGGTGGTTCTGGAGTCAGCTGGGCAAATCTGAACTTTAGGTGTTGTACATCATCTTCGATATAATGTAAACGTAAGAAGTACTATGCAGGGTAAACGTTTTTTTTGTTTTTCTAACGGAGCACAATTTACAATATAGAAATTATCGTACTGCTTGTCATTCAAACGCTGACCTAGTAGTGCTGTATAATAACACTCACGGTGAGAAACCTGACACAGTTTTCCAGTTCTAATTTTGAGTAGGAAATTGACTATAATCTAAACTGTAGACGAGCAGTGGGCCAAGTGGCATACTATGATTGGGCTGGTTAATTTGATGAAATGATTAGTTATGACCGTACGTCCGTCAGGTAAAATTTTATTCTGGTTTGCTGACCAGTTAAAAGTGTTTTTATTCAGTTAAAGAGGACTTCTTCAAAATTAATTTAAAGATATCAAGGTATCCATAGAGTTTGTAGACATGAAAAAAGAAACGTCGCTGAGCAGTACTGATTAAAAGGACCAATTTGATTCCATTTTTCTTTTCTCTCGATATTAAGCCATATTTTTGGCATACCTTCCCCCCCCCCTCCCCCCCAAATCCTCCCCCACCTTATAAAAATGATGGTCCCTTAAGGTCATTCCACTGAAATAGAACCTGCACTGAGATTTTTGTCAAANTAGTGAGAAAGAAAATAATATTAAAACATGCCTTTTGTCTCTGCTTAACATAAGCAGCCAATTTTGCCAGCTCAGCAAATGTCTCCATGCAATTATTTTTGAATTACCGCCAAGTCTAGATGATTTTTCTCAAAAAGTAACGGTGGTGATCCACAGATCAGGAAATGGTCAGGAAGAAAAAATTCTTCAAGGTCAGGGAAAAGTCAGGAAACTTTATTTTGAATCAGGAAAAAATTGTGGAGGTACATACTCATTCAAATTCAGAGGTTTTGGCTCCATGGTGTACTATCTAGCCCATGTTTGACTTAAGGTCATTCCACTGAAATAGAACCTGCACTGAGATTTTTGTCAAACTTTGCCTATTGACTGTTTATATTATAGGAACTTAAATTTGGAAATAAAAATGAGGGGTCCCCATGTTCATTTAGGAGTAACAGCACCTTGTTTATACCATATAAATCGTTACAAAAGGACCATGATTATAGTCACGATTGCTTGCTAAATTCACGTTTCCGACGAATGTCTCTTGCTCAACACTGAGAATTGGCCCATATTTATTTTACAAAGAGAAATTTATTACTCAATTCAATACAACAGAAAAAAATGATAGGTCCCCGTACTCGTTTTCGAGAAAATGACGATTTACCTCTATGGTGAGGTCCAGCTGTAAAGAAAAAGCCGCCATTTTTTACTGCATGCGCACTAATCATGCGTGAAATTATACGCAGTAGGGATGCACAATGCAATACTGGGGAATGACCTTAAACACTACTCCAACAATTTTTTTTTCTTATCATTATCTTGTACTGTGTAAATTTTATAATTTGATCTTGAAGCAGGCCTGGGTTTCAATACGGTTTTTGGCAGGCTGACATCAGGGTATCACTCTGACAACCAGACAAAAAATTAATAATCAAGACCCAAAGGGCCTTGCCGAGTTAGTCAGGTCCTGGGGCATCAGGCCCCCAGAAAATCTTGAAATACTAGACTTTCTGCAATTTGGTGCACGGCTTAATTGCCTACAAGAGATCATTGTATAGTAACTATTTGTAAGTCATATTTTGATGCCATTAATCAACAGATGATTCAATTTATCAGTTTTTATAATCTTTTACTGATAGCATTTTCAGAGGAGGTTGTGAAATTCATGCATGTGAAAGTCATGCATAGCATGTACCAATGAAATAGAAAACCAGCAGTCAAGTTGGAGTTTGTTTGTTTGTTTGTTTCACAGGATTATATATCACATTTGTAATTATAGTAATTTAGACGGATTACCACTCTCCTTAGCTGCAATATTGCTAATAGTAAACTGCCATTGGAAAATGATAGTAAATTAAAAGACAGTATCACAGAAATTTATATATTTCCATAATTACATCTACTACACTTCAATGGGTTTCTAGCAAAAAGAAACTTGGAATACATGGATTTTTTAAAATTCTCTGCTTTCTAGCTACCATGAATGACAGAATGTGCCATTAACAAACCATGTGAGCAGGTTTTGTAGTTATACCATAAGAGACTTCCGTGAAGATGAAGAGCGAGGTGGCTTCACTGATTTCCGTTTCGTAAACAGTCGATGCCATTTTTAATGGTCGATGCCATCATTGGCAACCAAGCCTTTCAGAATGGACGATGCCATATCTGCTTTAGTATAGGCCTGGACAAGGTAGAAACTGATTTTAATTTGTTGATTGAGTAAAACGCACTCATCAAATGCTTGATTGTTCATTCACACTAGTTTGGTTTTGCGGAGATTTGGCGGATCAACCTGGTAGTGTAGTGGTAGAAGAGGGATGTTAGGAAACAGAGGTTTCGGGTTCGATACTGGGTGGTTACTTACAAATTTTCCTTTTTCTTTAATTTCGTAGAGAAAAATTCGTTGATAGTTAAAAAATTTCTAAGTGTCGCGAAATTGGCTTCGACCATTTACGAAACAGACAACTGCAGTGGCTTCTTTCCACCATTTTAAAAATGAATATATGACACAGAATAAAGCTTTTTCAGTGTCCAGGAGAATTATTTATCTGAGCCTGAAAATATATTTACTTTAATTTAGTTTGAATATATTTTAATTTGTCTGCCGTCTATCAAAAAATGAAACTTGAAACCCACACCAGCAGGTAAGAAATTGGTTAGTGCTAGCTGGCAACCACTGAAAACAGCAAACTGATTGAGATGACAGTCTATAATTTTGTTGCTTTGAAGGGCCAGTTGGGCCAGGCTGAGGAGTACTTCCTTCACACTTTATAGACAAGGAGCCAGAAACAGAAAACTATGGCATTCCTAAGTGCAGTGTACACTTGCATACAGCAAGCAATTGAAATTTGAGCTCGCTGGAACCGGAAAGAGCTAGAAATATCATTTCACGCTCACAGGCTGCGTTCTCTAAATTTGGTTGATTCGTACGCATATTGTTTTTTCTATGCGACGAATGCTATATAATTTGGATTCAAGACTTCAACTCCAGACTAACGATTTGGACGTTAATATGAAATACATGTACTCTTGC